ATCGCCGGAGCCCAGCAGGTCGAGGCTGCGGTGGCCGGAAGCGGCCACTGCACTCCAGTCTGGGTGACAGAGTGAGACTTCCACTCAAAAAAAAAAAGATACATAGCATTTCCACCTCCCAGAGTTTCCTCATAGCCCTCTAGAGTTCATGTTTCTCATTTCTGCCCCAGGCAACCAGTTATCCAATATGTTTATGGCACTTTTTTTTTTTCAATCAGGGTCTCCCTCTGTTGCCCAGGCCAAGTGCAGTGGCATGATCATGGCTCACTGCAGCCTCAACCTCCTGGGTATAGGCAATCCTTCTGCTTCAGCCCCCTGAGTGAGTCCATGCCCCCACTTCCAGCTAATTTTTTGTAGAGATGAGATCTAACTACGTTGCCCAGGCTGGTCTCAAACTCCTGGGATCAAGTGATTCTCTTGACTCAGTCTTCCACAGGGCTGGGATTTCAGTAAGCCACTGCGCCTGCCTTCGTATATGGTACTTTAAAAGTCATAATGCATTTTGGAAACAAGTTTTCTCAAGAATTTTATTTCCAGGTGTGGTGTCTTTTTTTTCTTTCTTCAATTCTTGACTGAAGTATAGCACACATATAGAAAAATGTAAATTGCAGTGATTCCACAAATTGGAGGCAGTCATGTAGCCAGCACTCAGATCAGGAAACAGAACACAACCAGGCCTCACTCAAAAAATAAACCTCCCCTGTGTTCCTTCCCAGTCCCTCGATCCTGCCACTCTAGAGAGCCACTGTGTGGTAGTCCAACACCTAGATTAATCATCAGTCCTGGGATTGCTGACGTGGACCCTTAAGGAGATTTTAGCTTGTTTAGAAATGCTAAGGATGACCATTGGGTTCTCGTCGTTATTTTGTAACTTGAAATTTGTTTTTTAATTTCAGTTTATTGACTCATCTGAAGCTCTGTAAAGACTTTGAAGTTGACAATCCTATAAAAGACTTTGCTGCGAAACTATCTTTAATACCCAGTCCACCGCCTGGACCGCTCCATCTGGTAAAGTTAAATCTGGAATTATGTTTTTTCTTTGCAAATCTTTGCAAATGGTAGAAGTAATATGTTGAAGATGGGGTAAATGGTTTAAACTAGTCCTTAAGATTTAACTGTGTTTAAATTATGCTCCTCAAGGAAGAAGCTTTTTTTTTTTTTTGAGTTGGACTCTCTGTCACCCAGGCTAGAGAGTGGCATGCCCACGGCCACTGCAGCCTTCACCTGCTAGGCTCAGGTGATCCTTCCACCTCAGCCTTTCAAGTAGCTGGGACCACAGGTGTGCGCTCCCATGCCCAGCTAATTTTTTGATTTATTGTAGAGATGAGGTCTTGCCAAGTTGCCCAGGCTGGTCTCAAACCCATGGGCTTAGGCAATCCTTCCAAAGTGCTGGGATTATAGGCATGAGCCATCACACCTGGCCAGAAGCATTTTATAAACTATTTCTGTTTTTTTTCTTTTTTTGAGTCAGGGTCACTCTGTTGCCCAGGCTAGAGTGCAGTGTCATGATCACCGCTCACTGCAGCCTCCACCTCCTGGGCTCAGGTGATCCTTCTGCTTCAGTCTCCCAAGTAGCTGGGACTACAGGTGCATGCCACCATGCCTGGCTAATTTTTTTTATTGTAGAAATGAGGTTTCACTATGTTGCCCAGGCTGGTCTTTAATGCCTAGGCTCAAGTGATCCCCCTGTCTTGGCTTCCAAAAGTGCTGGAATTACAGGTGTGTGTCACCACACCTAGCCTATACACTATTTCTAAAGGTGAAAACTTAAATATTTAGGTTTGAGTTTTGCTGAGTGTCTTGTGATAAACAGAGCTAGTAATACATAGTGAGTGCTTTAGTGGTTAACGTGTTAGTTCATTTTTTGCTGTGCAGAAACTACATAGAAACCCCAATCCTTCAGTCTAAGAATGTATCTAAATTACAGATTTTCCTTTTGTTTGTCTTGACTATTGGGTGTTGTATTTAATTTGTTAGTGTTATCTCCTGTACAGATATATGATTAACAAAAAGTAACTGGCTTTATATTTTTTGTTATTCTGACATATGGCACTGTAGTATTTAATTAATAGACAAACATTTCCCAGTCTGGGTTCTGTTTTGAGAGATGTTGGCTATTTCATGACAGGGTTTCAGGGGTTATGTAAAATTGGAGAGGTGGCAGATTGCCTTTTCCTTCTGTTGAGAAACATGTCCAATTTCTTAGCTGTGTGAAGAAACCTGTTTGACTCAGCACTTTCTAAACTGACTTAGCCATATATTGGATACTTCTTCTTCTTTTTTTTTTTTTTTGACTCTCGCTTTCACTTTGTCCCCCAGGCTGGAGTGCAGTCGCCCACTCATGGTCACCCACAGCCTTGACCTGCTGGGTTTAGGTGATCCTTCCACCTCAGACTTCCCAACAGCTACTAGAACCACAAGTGCACGCCACCATGCCTAGCTAATTTTTTAAAAAATTTATTGTAGAGATGAGGTCTCACCAAGCAGCCCAGGCTGGTCTCAAACCCCTGGTCTCAGGCAGTCTTTTCGCCTTGGCCTCCCAAAGTGTTGGGATTATAGGCATGAGCCACCATGCCCAGCTTTTTTTTTTTTTTTTTTAGACAGATACCTGGCAAGCATCTTCAAATGTTTAGTAAATGTTCAAATGTTTCACTGTGTTAGTTCTCTGGAAGATTATACACATAAATGTTGGTCCTCTACATTTTAAAAATTATGAACAATTGAAAAGTAAGGCTAGGTGCAGTAGCTCATGCCAGTAATCCCAGCATTTTGGGAGTCCAAGGTGGAAGGATCACTTGGGGCCAGGAGTTTTAGACCAGCCTGGGCAGCATAGTGAGAACTTGTCTCTCAAAATCTTTAAAAAGAAATTAGCCAGGTATGGTGTTGCACGCCTGTAGTCTTGACTACTTGGGAGACTGGAGTGGGAGGATTGCTTGAGCCCAGGAGTTTGCGGTCACAGTGAGCCAGGCTAATTTTTTTGTTTTTTGTAGAGACGAGGTCGTGCTATGTTGCCCTGGCTGGTCTGGAACTCCTGGGCTCAAGCAGTCCTCCCGCTTTGACTTCCCAAAGTTCTGGGATTACAGGCATGAGCCACTGTGCCCGGCCAAATGTGTCTTTTAAATATTACTCCACCCCCAGCAAAAAATCCTGCCAATGCAGTCTAGTCCATATACAGAGCAGGCTACCTGGCTACCTCAGTGCTACTCCTGGAAACCTTCATAGGGAATATTTCTCGGAATCTCACCTTTATTACACGACTCACGGGTGCTTTGTTGTCGACGATGTGTGCAGTGAGATCAGCAGAGTAGATGTCCTCGCTGACATATGTGTTCACTGAGGACTGCGAGGGCAGTGAACAGAACCGATTATGACTTTAGGACAGTTTCAGACTCAGCTGTGATCGACTGCCCTTGACTGTTGATATTAGTGATGCATTCATAGAACTGCAGCAGTTTTCTGGATCTGAGTCCTGGCTGATCACTGACATTGGGCTCCTCCCTCACCATGGCCCCAGTGAGGACTTCCAGGGACTCTGCAGGCCGGCCTCAGCCTCACATTCCATCGTCACTCAAGCCTGGCCGGCCCTACTTCAACCCTCAATTACAGTTTCCTTGCTGCTACGTCCTGCTGGGCCACCAGTTTCTCCCACCCATGTGACTGGTCGGCCACCTCAGTTCATTCTTTGATTCATCCTCTGCTTAAAACCCCACTGTGGCTTCCCACTGTCTGCCTTACTCAGTCCTGTGGCCTGGACCCTTCCTTGCCATTCAGTTCTGTTCCATGTCCCCTTTACTTGCTGGCCTCCAGCCTTGCTGGACTCCCTCCAGCCCCTGAAGTTGCTGCCACGGGGCCCTTGCACTTGCTGTTCCTCCAAACACTGTTCCCTCCATATTCTTGCAGCCGGCTCCTGCTCATCTCACAGGTCACGCACAGTTGTTGGGTCTTCAGAATGGCCTCTCTGAGCAATTCCCCTCACTCCTGTTTCTCTTACGGTTCCTAATTCTTCTGCTCCAGGGTACAGCTCAGCCTGTAACTAGGGCTTCTCTGAGTGTGTGTGTTTTTTGTCTGTGTTCTCCAAACGACTTGGAGCTGCATGAGGACAGAGGCCATGCCCAGCACTGTGTGTCTAGGGCTTACCGCAAGGCCCACAGAAGTGGTTCCCAGATGGCCATGCAGCCAGCGAATGAAGGGACCTATCATGCTCTATCATAGTCAGCGAATGTTTGCTGATCGATGTTGTGGACCTCACACGTTTATCTCAGTGGCTTACTTAGTTTGGATCAGGCTTTCGGTTCTCCCTGAGCAAGTCTAATTAGCTGTTGGTTTGGGATCTCACTCTGTCGCTCAGGCTGGAGTACATGGGCACAATTACGGCCCATCGCAGCCTTGACCTCCTGAGCTCAGGCGAGCCTCCTGAGTGACTGGGAATACAGGCGTGTGCCACCATGCCCAGCTAATTTTTTTGGATTTTTTGTAGAGACGAGGTCTCGCTATGTTGTCCAGGCTTGACTTGAACTCCTGAGCTCCAGTGATCTTCCTGCCTCAGGTTCCAAAAGTGTTGGGATTACAGGTGTGAGCCACCTGCCCCAAACTGCCTTATTTTTAATGTGTCATGCTTCTGCAGACAAGTTGGTAACAAGAAAGCAAGATGCCCCAGGTAGAGTAAATCCTCACTTATTGTCCTCAGCAGTTTTTTGGAAACTGTGACTTTAAATGAAACAACAGCTACCAAAACCATTTTGAAATTTTATCATAGGCTAATTGATACAAATAAGCATTAATTTTCTGGTCATAAAAACATCACTAAAATTAGCCCAATGAAGGCCCAAACAATGCAGTGTGTGTGTGTGTGTGTGTGTGTGTGTGTGTGTGTGTGTGTGTGTGTAAATATTTTATTTTATTTTTTAGAGATGAGGTCTCACTATGTTGCCCAGGCTGGTTTCAAACTCCTAGGCTCAAGTGATCCTCCTGCCTCGGCCTCCCAGAGTGCTGGAATTATAGACTTGAGTCACCGCGCCCGGCCCCATTACATCTAATATTAAACACTAAAGTACATGTGAACCATCCATGCATCCAAGAAAGATTCATAAAGGCAAGTCAGATCATTATTTACCCACTTATTTCCATTCGGGGTTGAGGGTAGCTGGAGCCCACCCTGGCATCTCAGGTGCAAGGTGGGAGCCACTCTGGCTGGGATACCATCCCATCGCAGGTTGCACCCTTGCATATCTGCGCTTATTCCTGCTAGACCATGGGGACACACCCACTCCCCTAATATGCACAGCTTTGGGATGTGGGACGAAACCGGAGGACCCAGAGAAAACCTATGCAGATGCGGGGAGCCTGTGCACAGGCCACACAGACAGCGGCCTCAGCTGGGAAGTGAATTTTTTTTCCTCATCAATATTACGAGACTCCATTATTTGAGGATCTGCTGTGTTTTAGGAAGCACTTGCTGGTGTCCTCCCTACCTAGAAATCACAGTCCTTTCCTGCCTCTGGTTTTGCACATGAAGGAATACTCAGAATAGTGACTCACATGACTGAGAAAGTGGGCGGGCCGAGCATTGTTTCATGGCCTTTGCTCCTGACCCAGGACCCGCTTCTCTTGATTTCTCCTTCTATGCCCCCTTGATGGGGCCTCCCTGAATGTCGGAGTCAATGGCTGCTTTCCTTTCTGCCTCTCCAGTGCTTTGCTCACATGCAGATCACTCTCTTCTGCTTATTTAACAGGGCTTCAGAGGCCTAGGAAAGGCACCCAGCCCCATGCGGGCCCCCAGGGGTGGGTACTCACTGCTCGCAACCACCTCCTTGACAAGCTTGAAAGCCCCTCAGTGGACTGACCCGGATCTTTCTCCCTCTGATTTCTTCCACTGCGTCCAACCATGTCCTTCAGCACTTTAACAACAGCAACAAAAGGATATTTGAGTCGGGGTCTGGCTCTGTCACCCAGGCTGGAGTACAGTGGCAGGATCACAGCTCACCATAGCCTCCACCTTCTGGGCTCAGGCGATCCTTTTGCCTCAGTTTCCCAAGTAGCTGGGACTACAAATGTCCACCACCACACCTGGCTAATTTTCTTATTTTTTGTGTAGAGACTAGGTCTCACTATCTTGCCCAGGCTGGTCTTGAACTCCTGGGCTCAAGCAATTCTCCTCCTTCGGCCTCCCAAAGTGCTGGGATTATAGGCATGAACCACATGCCCCACCCCTTTGACACTTTAATAGGCATTCCGTGAATATAGAATTCAAACTGAAGTCTTATTTCGAAGTAATATCATTTAGGAAAATGTCTCAAAATTTTTAAATTACATGTCTTAGAGGAGCTTTAACTATTAAATTGAAAATACGTAACATAGTAACTAAGAATATAATACCGAAGAATAACTCGAACAGGCTGGGTGTGGTGGCTCACACCTATAATCCCAATACTTTGGGAGGCCAAGCTGGGAGGATCAGTTGAGCCCAGGAGTTTAAGACCAACCTGGGCAACATAGCAAGAACTTGTCTCTACAAAAACTAAAAAAATTAGCCAGGTGTGGTGGCTTGTGCCTGTAGTCCCAGCTTCTAGGGAGACTGAGGCAGAAGGATTATCTGAGCCTAGGAGGTTGAGACTTCAGTGAGCCTTGATTGTGCCACTGCACTGCAACCTCGTTGACAGAGTGAGACTCTGACTCAAAAAAAGAATAACTTCAAGCCTGTAATCCCACCACTTTGGAAGGCCGAGGGGAGGGGATTGCCTGAGCCCATGGGTTCAAGAGCAACTTGGGCTCTATAATAATAATCAAAAATTGTCTACAATAACAGTCAAAAAAATTAGCCAAGCATGGTAGTGCACACCTGTAATTCCAGCTATTTAGAAGGCTGAGCGGAAGGATCCACTGAGCCCAACAGGTCAATGCTGGGATGGCTGTGAACATGTGTGCCACCGCACTCCAGCCTGGGTGATGGAGTGAGACTCCAACTCAAAAAAAAAAAAAAAAAAGGATAATTTGAAAGTGCTTGATTTAGACTTTTTCAAAGTGGAACGAATATCTTGTCTGTATTTTGTCTTTGTCTAGACAGCGAACCGTTTGCTGATTAAGGAATTTTGAGTTACTTAGAAAAAGACATTAGGCATTTAATGTGTGTATGAGCCTTTGTGGGCAGTTCTGTATACTTCCGGACTGGTTTTGTTATTCTGTGAGATATGGTGTGGCAGCATGCGTCTTCACGAATGTTTTCTGACTCTGATGCTCTCTGCGCCGAAGTAGTGAATTTGAGTGCATTTCAGCCTCTGCTGGGAGCCACTCCCTGAGCTAATGATGGAAACTGGCCATTGTAGATATTTAACATGAAACCACTCCAGATTGTGTTTCCTGCGCGAGCAGACCTCGAAAGCCCTGTTCTTGACCTGGACCTGCACCTGCCCCTGCTGTGCTTCCAGCCTGAGAGGGTGCTCCAGGTACGTGTCCCCCAACACCAACTGCGTCTCGTGCTGATGGACTTATTGGGCCCCCAAAATAGTTCCAGAGGTGATTAAGATGCAAGCCTGTTTCACAGTGTACATAGCGTACTGTAACGATGTATCATGTGGTTATGGCCTATAGTTGTGCTCAAAATGTTTGTTTATGTTTATATATTTATTTATTTTTGAGGTGGGGTCTCACTCTGTCACCCAGGTTGCAGTACAGTGGCACAGTCATGGCTCACTGCAGCCTTGACTTCCTGGGCTCAGGCGATCCTCTTGCCTCAGTCTCCCAAGTAGCTGGAACTACAGGTGCATGCCACCATACCTGGCTAATTTTAAAATTTTTTATGGAGACAAGGTCTCGCTATGTTGCCCAGGCAGGTCTCAAATTCCTGGGCTCAAGCAGTCCTCTCACCTCAGCCTCCCAAAGTCCTGGGATTATAGGCGTGAGGTTCTGTGACTGTCCTGTTTACCTTTGCTTAAAGCCAGTGTCACTACAGTGTGTGGTATTTGCAAATTGTACTCTTTGTAGGGTCTCTGATGGCTTTTGTTGGGCAAATGGAGCTGGGAGACCAGGGAAGAGCTGCACTCAGTCAGGCTTTGTTAGTGGCATGTTTCTGAGTTTTCAGTTCGCCATGCTGCACCTGTATGTGTACACTGCCCTGTGGCCTCTCCTTGCAGATCCTGACATGCATCTTGACGGAGCAGCGGCTTGTGTTCTTCTCCGCGGACTGGGCCCTGCTGACGCTGGTCGCCGAGGGCTTCATGGCCTATCTGCACCCCTTGCAGTGGCAGCACCCCTTTGTGCCCATCCTGTCCGACCAGATGCTGGATTTTGTCATGGCTCCCACGTCCTTTCTCATGGGCTGCCACCGTGACCACTTTGAGGAAGTCAGCAAGGTGAGGTCTAGAACACCGGATCTGTGGCATCATGCTCTCCAGAGTCCATGGTGAGGACCTAGTGCTCTGAAGCACAGGAAGAGTACATGCAGTGCAGATATGTCCTGGGCACCGTGCTTGGTGGCAGGTGACTCACTGTGTCATTACTCTGTGGTAAGTCTTCAACCCCTTAGTCTCCTGGCTGTAACAGGGCAATCAGTGTGCCCACCTTATTGTTATAATGAGGATCCAGTGAGGCATTAGCACAGCGCATACAGCCAGTGCTCAATAGGCAGTAGCTGTTACTACTGTTATGCTAATGGGACAAGGCATATGTTTAGCTGGTGAGCCAATGTCATGGCTCATCATAAATATTGTGATGATGCAGCAGACAGACTGGGTTTGGTTTTTAAAAACAGCTTTATTGAGATACAGTTTGCATAACCCCAAGTTTACCTGGTTGCAATGTACAATCTAGTGGATTTTAATATATTTATAGGGTTGTGCAGTCAACCATTCTCCAATTTTAGACATTTTCATCACCCTACAAAGAAGCCCCAGTACCTATTAGCCATCATTCTCCCCATCTCTCCCCTACACCAGCCACACATCTGTGTTCTGTCTCTGTGAATTTGCCAGTTCTGGGCATTTCCCATAAGTGGGATCACTCAATGTGTGGTCACTATATCAGGCTCCTTCCACTTAGCATCATGTTTTTGACCCTTGTCCATGTTGTAGCCTCTATTAGTACTTGATCTATGTGGTCAAATAGATGTCATTGTGTAAATATACCAGATTTTGTCCATCTATGCATCAGTTGATGAGCAGCTGGGCCATTCCTACTTTTTGGCTGTTGTGAATGATGCTACAGGCAACACTTACGTACAAGTTTTTGTGTGGATGTACGTTGTCATCTCTTTGGGGTATATCCCTAGGAGTGGAATTGTTGGGTTACATGGTAGCTCTTTGTTTAACTCTCTGAGGGCCTGCCAGCCTGTTTTCAGAGAGGTGCCTCATTTTGCCTTCCCACCAGCTGTGCATGTGCATTCCAGTTTCTCCTTGTGTCCTCGTCAACACTTATAGTTATCTGTCTTTCTCATCACTGGTCTTCTTGCGGGTGTGGACTGGTATCTGACTGTGGTTCTGACTTGCATTTCTCCAGGGACTAAGGGCACAGAGCATCTTTTGGTGTGCTTATAGGGAGTTCACACAGGGCAGGTTTACATTTAACTTTCCATTTTGAAAATTCCCAAGTGTACACAAAAACAGAGAAGAATACAGTGAGTGCCCTGTGCCCCTCCTGGTCAGCAGTCTGTTGCCAGCCTCCAAGTTGTCTACAGCCCTGTTTTTCCAAGCAACTCCTAGACGCCAGGCATTTCCCCCACAAGCGGTGGTAAGGCAGTTGTCTTGGGCTTGACCAGGTCCCTCATGCAGGAGCCTTTCTGTGTTCTTGCCAACGCCAGTGATTCACCAGGGGAAAAACACACTTTAGAAAAAGGCCATTCAGACCTCCAGGGAAGGACCGGAAAAACGTCAGCCAGTCTGCTCCACAAGTGAGGAAAGAAATAGACCGTGCTCTGAAGTTGAAAGTTGTGCTTCTTTTTATAGACATTAGGGAAAAAAACATCATGTTTCCGGCTCTTTAGAAAGGAAACTTTTTTTTTTTTTTGCCTGTTAACAGTTCCAGTCAACAGTCATGGGGGAACGCTTTTAGTCACTTATCTGTTCTGGAAGATGTCGGGAGCAGCAGCCACTCTTTGGAGTTTGTGTGGATGTTTGGTTTATTATCGTGGCTGGTGGTCGGCTCTGGGAGGAGCTGTCTGTGGTCCCACAGCTGTCAGCCTCCACTACAGACTTGCAAATGTCTGACATTAATGCTTACTAAGGGCAAGCCTGTTTAACTTGCTGGTTTAGTGTTTTGTGTATTTGCCCTGTGAGACTTTGAGGCCAAGAATGTGTTTGCACATATTTCATGTGTCATCTGAAACAGGGATGAAGAGGTGGCCCAGAATGCAAGCTGAGCTGCTGAGCCTTTAGAGAGAGTCAGGCATCATGTTTTGGGAACTTTGGAAGCTCAGAACTCGATGTGCTGCTCATCACTTATATGTTCTGCCACAAAGGAGACGCCACAAGTCACCCATTTGCATATTTCTTTTTTTTTTTTTTTTTTTTTTTTTTAGTTGGAGTCTCACTCTGCACACTCACTGCCACCACAGCCTTGACTTGCTGGGCTCCAGCGATCCTTCTGCCTCGGCTTTCCAAGTAGCTGGAACTACAGACACACACTCCAGCTTATTATTATTATTTTTTATTCATTGTAGAGACCAAGTCTCGCCAAGTTGCCCAGGCTGGTCTCAAACCCACGGGCTCAGGCAATTCAGTCACCTCAGCCTCCCAAAGTACTGGGATTACAGGCTGAGCCATGGAGCCTGGCCTCGTATGCATATTTCAAATATTCCAACTGTGAGTGGTCACTTAGCCCAGGTACCTGGGAGAGATGGAACTGGCTGGGGAGCTGAGCAGACACACCAGACATTGAAGGTGGGTGGGGCACTTACTGGAGTTCTGAAATGTTCCCTTCAGGACTCCATGAAGTGGTACCTGCAGTGTTTGTTCCAGGGTAGGTGAAACCTTGGCAGCGATGGGTATCGGACTCTTGACTCAAAGAGAAAGGCATATGGATAAGCAAAATGTGGTGTATCCAGTTACTGGAATACAGTATCGAGCCTTTTTTTGTGTGTGTCAGAGTCTCATTCTGTCTCCCAGGCAGGAGTGCAGTGGCACGCTCACGACTACCGCAGCTTCGACCTGCTGGACTCAGACGATCCTTCCGCCTCAGCCTTCCAAGTAGCTGGCACATGCCACCATACCCAGCTAACTTTTTGGTTTATTGTGGAAGCGAGGTCTCGCCATTTTGTCCAGGCTGGTCTCGGACCCATGGGCTCATGCAATCCTCTCACCTCCGCTTCCCAAAGTGCTGGGATTATAGGCATGAGCCACCGTGCCCCGCCGGTATTGAATCTTAAGAAAGAAGTGACAGACCAGGCGCGGTGGCTCAAGCCTGTAATCCCAACACTTCGGGAGGCCGAGGTGAGAGAATTGCCTGAGCCCACGGGTTCGAGACCAGCCTGGGCAACTTGGTGAGATCTCGTCTCTACAATAAGTCAAAAAATTAACTGGGGGTGGTAGCGTGCATCTGTAGTCCCAGCTACTTGGAAGGCTGATGCAGAAGGATCGCCTGAACCCAGTGTGTTGATGCTGGAGTAGCTGTGAGCATGCCACTGCACTCCAGCATAGGCGACGGAATGAGACTCCAACTCAAAAAAAAAAGAGAAAGAAGTGACACATACTACAACATGGGTGAACTTTGAGGACGTTATGCTACGTGAAATAACGTAGTCATGGGAGAACAAATACTGTGTGATTCGACTCGTCTGAGGTCCCTAGAAGAGTCAAGTAGAATGGTGGGTGTAGTGGAAGAGAGAATGGGGAGTTTGTGTTTAGTGGGTACAGAGTTTCTATTAGGAAAGATGAGAAGGTTCTGGAATGGATGATAGAGATGGTTGCACAATGTTGTGAAGGCTTAACACTATTGGAACTATACACTTAAAAAAGGTTAAAATGGTAAATTTTATGTTTCTGTTACCACAGGAACTATAAGATAAAGGCTTATTTAATCAAATTTAGCTCACTGACTTCACTCACACTAGATACTAGATTGTAGAGAAAATATAAGGCATATTAAATAGGGTAATGAGACAGTCTTAGTGAATGCAAATGTATTTGTGTGTTTTCACAGAGGTATATGGATTTGAAGATTCTTATGTCCATCTTTACAAACCAGTCCTTGTTTTCTAGGAAGCAGATGGTGTAATTCTGATAGATATCGATCACGGGAGCATTACCTGCTCGAAGTCCTCAGACAATCACGTGGACATTCCTGCCATCCCTTTCTTAGCAGCACAGACATTTATTCAAAGGTAACGGAAACAGCATGTGTTTAGAACATCTTTGTTCAAATTCTGTATCTACCACTCCGAGTAGTGTTACCAATTTTATATTATTATTGCTGTTGTTATTATTATTATTATTATTTTGAGTTGGAGTCTCACTCTGTTGCCCAGGCTAAAGTACAGTGGCATGCTCACAGTCACTGCAGCCTCGATCTGTTGGGCTCAGGCTTTCCTTTCGTCTCAGCCTTCCAAGTAGCTAGAACTACAGGTACATGTCACCATGACTGGCCCATTTTTTTTTTTTTTTTAATCTCTCATGGAGACAAGGTCTCGCCATGTTGCTCAGGTTGATTTCAAACCCCTAGACTCAGGGAATCCTCTTGCCTCCGCCTCCCAAAGTGCTAGGATTACTGGCATGAGCCAGCATGCCCAGCTCCAATTTTATATTTTTGATGTCTATTTTTATAGTGTATTTATAGTTTGGAAATTATTTGTGAGTATTTTAAAATAAAAGTGCTTTGCCTTCCTTCTTTTACAAATTACTTTCATTTTAAAATACAAATAATACTAATCAGAGTATTGCATTTAAATGTTATCAGAGTCAGGAGACAGTCATAGCTCCTGGGAAACCTCCTTGACCTGTGCCCTAGGATCCTGTGCCTGTGATCTTTGAAGTTCCCTTTCCAACCATTTATTTATTCATTCATTCATTTACTTGCTAGCTGTGTACCGAATACCTAACATGCACCTGGAATTGGGCACGATCGAAGTACTAATGACAGGACAGCAATGGCCCCTACCTGGTGACTTGATCAAGCCAGTGGGCTCTTCTGGGGATGACCTGTTATCCCTGAGCAAGAAGCTGTCGTTTCCTTTCCCTCCCCAGCTCTCTGTTAGCACTGTTATGTTTTCATACCCCTTTTATAGCGTCATGTGTTTCCTTTTATCTCTGTCGCTAAACTTCATTGGCCTCGATGGGTGTCAGCCAGTTTTTTCCAAAAAGAGCCAAAAATAAAATATATTACAGGCTCTGGGGGCCCTGAGGTCTCTGTCATGGTGGAGAGGCTTGGTGGGGACTCTAGGTATCCCAAGGGGAGGGTGGAAGGAAGTGTAATTGCTTCTTATGTCGGGATGTGGTGTCGGGCCATCCTGGGTATGACCCAGGCAGCTCCAGACCAGGTTCCTTTGGGTGGCCCTGCAGAGTACTTCTTTTCCCTTCGGAATTTTATAAAAACAACAACAGGAGAAACATCCCTGTGGGTGCCTACCACCGTCAGACTCGAGTGACCCGTGGAAGCCAGGCTGACGGATGCCCGACTTTCAGGAGTTTTTGCGAACAGCCAAACTCTTCTTGTTTCTGGTGAAGCCCAGGAGGCAGTTTGTATGTGGGTCAGTGGTAGCCTTCCTTATCCTCTCCTTCTTTTATCTTTTTCTTGGGCAATCAGATAAGATAGGAGCCGGGACCCAGGGAGGAGGAGGGGAATGAGGTGGTTTCTGACTCGATGGCAGTGATTCCCTTTGCAGTATACATAGGAGTTCTATCTTTAGTTTTTTTTCCATCCATTTTTAAACAGTAGTAAAGACCCCAAAGCCCAGGGTTTGGCAGGAGCACATATAGAATGTTTGTCCTATGTTTGCTGTGATGGTGGAATCCTGAGGGCCCTCTTCCCGCAACCATGGGACTGAGCAAGGTCTGCTGGGAATTCCCCTCCCTTGAACTGAGGAGGCGAAACTTGCATTCCTGACAGTCATCTAAACAAAAGCTGCTTCCGTGACTTTTATTTTATTTTATTTTAAGTTGGACTCTCATTCTGTCACCCAGGCTGGAGTGCAGTGGCATGCTCACGGCCACTACTGCCTTGACCTGCTGGGCTCAGGTGATCCTTCTGCCTCAGCCTTCCAAGTAGGCAGGACTACAGGTTCATGCCACTGGGCCTGGCCAATTTTTCAATTTATTATGTGAATGAGGTCTTGCCAAGTTGCCCAGGCTGGTCTTGAACCCCAGGGCTTAGGCAATCCTCTTGCCTCTGCCTCCAAAAGTGCTGGGATTACAGGTGTGAACCACCACACCAGGCTGTCCTGACTTTATTTATTTATTTATTTATTTATTTTTGAGCCCAGGCTAGAGTGCAGTGGCACGAGCATGGCTCACAGCAACCTCAACCTCCTGTGCTCAGGCGATCCTCCTGTCTCAGCCTTCCAAGTAGCTGGGACTACGGGTGTGTGACCGCCATGCCCAGCTCATATTTTTAAATTTTTAATGTTTTGTGGAGACAAGGTCTCACTATTTGTCGATGTTGGCCTTGAACTCCTAGACTCAAGTGATCCTCCCATCTCAGCCTCCCAAAGTCCTGGGATTATAGGCATGAGCCACCGCACCTGGCCTTCCCTGATGTGAGACCATGCCGTTCTAGAACTAACCGTTGCTAGCGTCCAGTGGCGCTTATCCTGTGTCCACTTTGGCCTGGTGTTCCCTGAAGATGGGATTCTTGCCTGTGTCTGCATGTTACTAGAATTCCAGCTTAGAAGCGCACATTGCGCAGGGCTTGGCTCCCCACCTCGGCAGAGCACCGCCCCTCTACAGCATTCATGTGAGGGGTGAGATGTTGTGAATCCTACAGTCTCGTTCTGGGAGACTTTATTTTAATAACGTGAACTCTCCGTGTGTGGTCGATGTCCCAGTCTGACCCGTGATCCAAGCTGCTGTGGCAGGTCCTCTCATGATATTTCAGAGTGCAAGTGTGCATCGCACGCAAGCGTTGGCTGAGAGGGACAAGGGGCAGCCACCTTCCTCCCTCAGCTTCCCCGAGATGCCCTCGCCCTGCTGTCTTTGTCACTTGGATGGGACATATGCATTTTCTGTGCCCCTTCTGCTGCTGACCAACCCAGCTCGAGGCAGGGACAGGGTCCCCAGCTCCAGGCCATGCTGGCTGAGCCCCTGGGTGAGGGGGAAGGACAGGATTCAGCTGGGAGGGGACAGCCATCTCTCTAGATCTGGTTGTCCCTGCATCTGAAGATCCTGGCTGGCACAAGCTGCTCCTCCCACAGCATCACAGCGCGCATTTTACGTGGGGAGGGTCAGTGAGACTTCTTTCTCCACCATACTCTATGCTCCTCTGGGTGAAAGGCCAGGTTGGTGCCAATAAACAACATGGCAGTTACCGAGACCCCTCCAGGCAGGGGTGTTTGCCTGAAGTCTGATGAGTCAGGGTCGCCTGGGTTGGGATCCCACCTTGCGGCAGCTTCTCAGCACATTTGGGATGAATCTGGAGCCCTGGCCTGCACCGATTGCTGGGACCTAGCCCCGTGCTGGGCCACCCTGGTCTCACAGCTACATCCCCCCTACCGGTGTAGATCATTTGGTGACTGGGTAACACCTCGCTCCCCCCGCCCCCCATCTAGCTGCCTGCCTCTTGCCTTCCACTTCCTGGGTTCCATGTGGTCTCCTGGAGAGCTCTTCCCTACCCTCTTCTGACCATCTTTCCGTTCGAGCCCACCGCTCTCTTTTGCTTCCTGTCTGACCTCTCCCTTCTCTCGTGTTCTGTGGTTTATCTGTTTCCTGCCTCTTCCCACTCGAATGTCAGCGCCATGCAGGCAGGAGCTTGGCCTGTGTCCACCTCCTCCCCAGCACTCAGAACAGTGCCTGGCAGACAGTAGGTGTTCAAGAAATGCTTGTGGAATGGATCAGTTCTGCTTATTTTGCTTATTTCCAGAGTTCCTCTAAAAGTATTTGGAAGGCTGGGCATTGTGTCTCAGAGATAACTGAGTCCCTGAGTGAGGACCTCCAGATGAATAGGTGGCCATCCCCTGGTGGGCCAAGAGTGGTGATGCCCAGGGCATTGGGTATAGGGTACAGAGAGGAATCCGATCCTTCCTGGGCCTCACCTGGAAACCCCTTGGCATTCTGGAGGGAGAGGTGTGATCTGCCAGGCAGTGCACGCAGGATGGTACAATTCAGCTTGGATGGAAATATGCATTGTCCAAATTGAGGCCTTTGTAAGTTTATGTTTGGAGGTAACCTCCTGGGCTCAGACAGTCCTTCTGCCTTAGCCTCCCAGGTAGCCAGGACTACAGGCATGCACCATCACACCCTGCTAATTTTTTAATTTTTGTAGGAAAAAGTCTCTCTTTGTTGCCCAGGCTGGTTCTGAACTCCTGGGCTCAAGCAATCCTCCCATCTCAGCCTCCCAAATTGCTAGGATGACAGTCATGAGCCACCGTGCCTGGCCAAGTAATATATTTTTAACACCACCCCTCAAAGTATTACTGGGTATTTTGGGCACTCTGAGGTGTTCACGTACCTGGCAGCAACAAGCTGTGCTGGCAAGCTGTCTGCTGCTGCTGAGCACCCATCCCCAGTGACGCCCATGCAGAGCCCGCCACCTGTGCTTCCTTCCAGGGTACAGGGCCTCCAGCTGTACCGGGAGCTGCACCTCGCTCACCTCGGCTCCAGCACAGACCTGAATGAGGGCCGAGCCCGCAGACGTGCCTGGCAGCAGAAGCTCAACTGCCAGATCCAACAGATCGCCCTGCAGCTGCTTGTAAGCATCTTCAGGTACGTTAAGGATGTGTCCGGCGTCCGCAAGAAGGTAACTGACCCAGCAAGCCTTCAGCTCTATGCTGGGGGCGCTGCCCCGATGCTCAGGCCATTGGAATATTCTGCTGTGGCAAAAGTGAGGCCAGCCTCTGTCCTGCTGGAGCGTTCTGTACAGTCATGGCAGCCAGTGGGTTGACCCCACCTGTGTGCCTTCTCGCACCCTCTCCTGCTGGTACCTGCCTGTGGGTGGCTGTGTTAGCCGTGGCTCTCCAGGGAGATGCATATCTGACAACAAACCTGCAGGGAGAGTGTGTCCCCCTGGCCTGTGCTGACTGAGGGCACAGGGTCGGTCTAGGGAGGGCCCTGTCCCGAGAGGCCTGCGTCCAAGAGCTGCTGAGGGGGCAGATGGGTCATTTTGAGGTGACTCATAGACTAGATAATGAAGTCACCTAAGGAGAGCCACCAGGACAGATGGAGCACTCGGGATTTGAGAAGGCTTTTTTCCTCCTCATTCCGGTAATGACATCATGCTCTATCTCTTGTGTGCTGTTGCTTCCCTGGCATATGAGCCAGAATGGGCTAAGTAGACTAATAAAGTATATTTTAGTGTGATGTGGCACAGAAATTGAGTTGTATTTCTGTCTTAAATGTGCCGTTATTATAGGCTTAGGTCTATAATCCCAGCACTTTGGGAAGCCAAGGCAGGAGGATTACTTGAGCTCAGGAGTTTGAGACCAGCCTGGGCAACATAGCAAGACCTCTATCTCTACAAAAAAAATACAACAAAATTAACTGAGCATGATAGCGTGTGCCTGTAGTCCTAGCTACTTGGGAGGCTGAGGTAGGAGGATCGTTTGAGCCCAGGAGTTTGAGGCTGCAGTGAGCTGAGGTCACACCATTGCACTTCAGCCTGGGTGACAGCAAGACTGTCGCTTAAAAAAAAAAAAAGGAAAAGAGATAAAGGAACATGTGGCAAATATATGCCTAAAATCATCCTATACCTTTATGAATACATAATTTTGAGTGCAAAAGCTTCTCAGCTTTTCTTTCTTCCAACTGTTTCTTCTCTCTCTCTCTTGCAGTGGTCTTTCTCTCCTTCTTGCTGGTTTCTCCCTGAGTCCAGTAGCAAAGGAAGGTGCCCTGGATGCCGGGTCTCAACTGTCTGGAAGGGCCTTCTGCTTAGGAGGGACTTAGCACAGAGCCTGCTGACTTGATAGTATTCTGTATGACTATTTCAAAACGGAAATTGTAATGGCCTGGTCTTTTATTGTATTTCTTTATTTATTTGCACAAAGCAAATTATTTATTAGGAAAAAGATGGGTTGAGGAATTATAGACAGGTGATGTGATTCCTGCTCTAAGCAGGATAATTTGTGTGGTCCTGAATATGTTGTTTTCCTTCTGTTCTTTGAGGGTGAAATCTTTCATAAACATGGTGTTTATTTATTTGTTTATTTTTTAAAAAGCACACTTTACAACCTCAGTGAGTTGACAGAAAAGAGTAGTCTCAGTCACTCAGGAGGCCAAGGCAGGAGAATCACTTTGGCCCATGAGTTTAAAACCAGCCTGGGCAACATAGTGAGATCCTGACTCTTAAAAAAAGAACAAAAGAGCCAGGCATGGTGGCTCATGCCTGTAATCCCAGCACTTTGGGAGGCGGAGGTGAGAGGATTGCCTGAGCCCAGAGGTTCAAGACCAGCCTGGGCAACTTGGCGAGACCTCGTCTCTACAACAAATCAAAAAGTTAGCCAGGCGTGGTGGCACGCTCCTGTAGTTCCAGCTACTTGGAAGGCTAAGATGAAAGGAAAGCCTGAGCCCAGCAGGTCAAGGCTGCGGTGGCTATGAGCGTGCCATTGCCCTCCAGCCTGGGTGAGAGAGTGAGACTTCGATTCAAAAAAAAAAAGGTAGAAAGTATGACTACAAATGATAACAATTTATTTCCTTCCTCCTTGATAAAATAATTTTTTCCCTCACAATAGAAGGAACACACTTAGCACACTACATGCTGAATATGCCCCGGAAGGTTATGGATTCTATTTGTGGAATGCTACTTTAGGTCTGGGAGATTGTAAGCTAACATCCCCATGATTTATTATATCATGTGAGGAAACAGGGTGCACAGAGGCAAAGTGACTTGTCCGGGAAGGGGGTGGCTTGGCAGGGTGGCACTCTAAATCTGGCTGTCCTTTTGGAGGCACTAGCCTGAACTCAAGTCCCCATATGTGGATAATGATTGGTTTTCATGGCCTACTTTGCATAAGGAAGTAGGGGGCTGGAGGAAAGTGGGAACAGCAAAACGTGTCCTGGAGCCTCCTTCTGGGTGGGGGAAATTTACATCACATGGCGTCATTTTGGGGGTCAGAATAGTCCTTCTGAAGAGCAGGGCTTTTCAGTTTGTATTTCTTGGAACCATTTTTCTACTACTAAAAGCACTCTGTTTTTCACATATCTTAAAATGTTTCAGCCTAAAGACTGTCTTTCTCTTTGATAGGGATGTGAAGAATCACTTAAATTATGAACACAGAGTATTTAATAGTGAAGAATTTCTCAAAACAAGAGCCCCAGGGGACCAGCAATTCTATAAGCAGGTAGGTGGCGTGAGGTCTGGGTGTATCTGTGTGTGTTTGATGTGTTTTACTCTTCTGTATCTAAACAATTTTTCAAAACAAGTTTTCTCAACATCTGTTAATATTTTATGAAGTGTACAAGTATCAGCTTTTTCTTTTCTTTTTTTTTTTTTGAGTTGGAGTCTCACTCAGTTGCCCAGACTGGAGTGCAGTGGCCGCTCCCGGCCACCACAGGCTTGACCTGCTGGGCTCCAGCGATCCTTCCGCCTCAGCCTTCCAAGTAGCTGGAACTACAGGCGCGCGCTACCACGCCTGGCTAATTTTTTTGATTTATTGTACAGATGAGGTCTCTCCAAGTTGCCCAGGTGGGTCTCGAACCCGTGGGCTCAGGCAATTCACTCACCTCGGCCTCCCAAAGCGCGGGCTTATAGGCTGAGCCACCGAGCCCGGCAGTATCAGCTTTTTCAAAAAGTTTATTTTAGTGTGCTTCCTTCTGATCATCTGGTCCTCTCTTACTCTTTAAATTGGCCTTTTAGAGTATAGTTTACTTATAATGCCCATTTTATTTATTTATTTATTTTTTGAGTTGGGGTCTCACTCTGTTGCCCTGGCTGGAGTGCAGCGACACTGCAGCCACGATCTTCTGGACTCAGGCAATCCTTCTGCCCTCGGCCTCCTGTGTAAGCGGGGACTACAGGCACAAGCTACCATGCTCAACTTTTTTTTTTTTTTAAGAGATAAGGTCTGGCTATGTTGCCCAGGCTGGTCTCAAGCTCCTGGACTCAAGTGATCTTTCCTGGGCCTCCCAAAGTGTTGGGATTATAGGTGTGAGTCACCACACCTGGCTAATACCCATTTTGAGTACATGGGGTGCTGAATTTTGACAGCCGTGCCTACCTACAGAACTGCGTTCTGAATCTGGACATGGAAGGTTTCCACTGTCCCAGTCAGTCCCCAGACCCTGGCAGCCTCTGCTCTGCATGTGTCCTATGGATGGCCACTTGTGTCAGAGGCGCACAGCAGTGCTGCCCTGTGGTCTGTGCTCCCAGCCACCTTCCCTCCGTGTCCTGTGGAACCCGGCCTTTTGCTGTGTGTCTCAGCAGTGTGCTCCTTTTTACTGTTGGGAGCGACCCGTTGTTGGGATGCGCACACTTTGTTTTTCTGTCCGTGTGTTCACGAGCATTTGGATTGTTTCTGTTTTTGTCTCTTACCAAAAAAAGTAACATTTGGGGCTTTGTTCTGGCAGGCGACTGAAGTCACTGGCGGATCTTCTTGATCCTTTGGAGCTTGTTTTCATACTTTTGGGGTGGATTGAGAGCAGCCTTTCCCTGGGGATAGTTTATAGCTGAGCCCATCTGCCAAGTGGCACGTGACCCCGGGGCCTCCTGAATGATACGGTAGTCAGTTGGATGCCCCCCTCTGACTGCTGGGAGCATGAGCAGCTCTCCGCCCTTTGTGAGCTTGGAGGATTGTTTTGCTTATAACACGTTGCTTCTTTCTACCCTGGAATCAGTGGGTTGCTTCCCAGCTGTTCTTTGCCTGGTCTGGGGCAGTTTGACCCTGTGTGAGCCCCTGGGTATTCAGCAAAGGCTCAAGGAGACCCCTCTGGAGACTTCAGGAACCCTCTTTCTGCAGAGTTCCCTCCTCTGTGGAACTCTGCCCTGAGACTTCCAGCTGTCTCAACCTCCGTGAGCTCCATCCTGTCCCCTCAACTCTGAAGGTGGGGCAGCCATGAACCTGCCCTGCTGTCCCAGCCTCAGAACCAGTCTTGGGCACCTCTTGTCCAGCATCTGAAAATAGTCCCTTTGTTTCATTATGTGTCCTCGTAGTTTATGTCAGGGGGGTGTCTCAACCTGTGTGCCACTCCTTGGGCACTCTTTGACCTATTAGGAAATACGGTTTTCTTCATGGTGTGGATACGTTGGGCCCAGTGATCCATTATATGCCAGTCATCTCTTCTGGCTGTGTGAATGAGGAGCAGAAAACAACTGAGTTCCTTAATTTAGTATATCTTTGCTGAGCACGAATGGTGGTGCCCAGCCGTGTGCCACAATGCTCAGGAGCTCTGGTAGCGGAGAGGAGAGGACTCTGAGTGCAGCCCGGTGACTTACCCTTCTGTCTCTTCCAGGTGCTGGACACCTACATGTTTCATTCCTTTCTTAAAGCGCGACTCAACAGAAAGATGGATGCCTTTGCTCAGATGGACCTCAACACCCAGTCTGAAGAGGACAGGTGTGTCTCCGTTGTATTTTGGACACACAATCTGTGGGGATCATAGTGCTCAAGTCCCAGGGTCTTATTTCGATGGATAACTGATAAGTTCAATGGGAAAAGACTTAAACTTAGAAATTCATATTAAGTGTGGTGCAAGGCTGGGCACGGTGGCTCACGCTTATAATCCCAGCACTTTGGGGGGCTGAGGTGAGAGGATTGCCTGAGCCCGTGGATTCGAGACCAGCCTGGGCAACTTGGTGAGACCTCATTTCTACAATAAATCAAAAAAATTAGTCGGGTGTGGTGGCATGTGCCTGTAGTTCCGGCTACTTGGAAAGCTGAGGTGGAAGGATAGCCGGAGCCCAGCAGGTTGAGGCTGTGGTGGCTGGGAGCATGCCACTGCCCTCCAGCCTGGGTGGCAGAATGAGACGCCAACTCAAAAAAAAAAAATGTGTTGCATCCACAAGTGGGGGATATGTGGATCTGGGACTCAGGCAGGGGCCCCTTGGAGATAGGCCCCAGGGGACTGGGTGGCCCCAGGACTTCGGAGATGGAGTCAGAAGGTGGCCACTTGCCCTGCAGAGACCACCCACAGACCCGGGTTTGAATCTGGCTCCACCACCCATAACTGTGAGACCTGGTAGAGTTGCTGAGCAGGTGTGGGCTTCTGTTTTCTGTTCAGTAAAACAGACGCAGGACCCAGCGCACAGGGTTGCACGAAGATCAAATGAAATAAAGGAGTGTGCCCCCTTGAGAAAAATTACTAATGAGTTGGGTGGCAGCAATCACACTCTTCTCCATGTGTTCCTATTTCTTGGGGGACCACTGTGAACAAACATGTCTTTCATGCCTTCCCTGTGGTTTGGGCCCCTGGGTCTCTGTTCATGTTCTGTTCTTCCCATCTCCCTTCTCTCTGTCTTCCCCCATTCTCCCCTGTCCTCAAAGCCTGATTCATTTTCTATCTCTTCCCTGATGCTTTTCCTGATAGCAGGTATCCACTGCAGTCAGGGCTGTGGTCTCATCTGAGAGCACAATTGAGGTCACCTGAGACTCCACATGGCGAGATTTGGGCAAGACGTTTTTACCACTGTTTCCACTTGTGTGCAAGAATGTCAGGTCCCGGTTGTTACATGGGGGAAGATGCTTAGTTGAGGCTTTCTCTTCAGTCATTTCTGTGTCTACAAAGTAAAGCCATTGCTCCTTTCCACCCCAGAATCAATGGGATGCTTATAAGTCCAAGAAGACCGACAGTTGAGAAGATAGCCTCCCAGAAGCCTTCCCCTCTGCACGTGGCCCACAGGCGCATGGTGGTCAGCATGCCCAATCTGCAGGACATAGCCACGCCTGAGCTGGCACCCAGGAACTCCTCGCTCCGGCTGATGGACACCACAGGCTGTAAGGGCAGTGGCCCAGGTGAGGATTCTCCTCCCCTCTTGGTGGTGCTATGTCAGTCACTCCACTACCACACTACCTGCCACAGAACGAGACTGCAGCTTGTTTCAGAGGACGGGAACGGGCTTCTTTTTTAGCAGCTCAGTTATTTGAAATAGTTTTATTTTGTAAGCTGTGTTCATTATCGAAAATTATTTCTTTTTTTCTTTTTGAGTTAGGCTCATTGAAGCCTCATATTCCTGGGCTCAAGTGATCCTCCTGTGTCAGCCTCTTGAATAGTTGGGACTACAGGCACACACCACCATACCTGGTTAATTCTTTAATTATTTTTTTTTTGTAGAGACAAGGTCTTACTGTATAGCCTAGGCTGGTCTCGAACTTCTGGGCTCAAGCAGTCTTCCTGCCTCGGCCTCCCAAAGGGCTGGGATTATAGGCGTGAGCCACTGTGCCTAGCTTGTTTTCACTGTTACAGAATGGGATTTATAATGATAACAATAATATCCATCTCCCAGAATGTCTTTAAGGTAAATGAAACAGTGCTTAATCTTGCCTGGAAAGTACATTTTGGCTTATGATTTTGTTTTGTGGTCAGAGTCTCATTCTGTTTCCCTGGCTGAAGTACTGTGGCATGGATCACAGCTTACCGTAGTCCTGACCTCCTGGGCTCAGGCGATCCTTCCACCTCAGTCTCCTTAGTAGCCATGATTACAGACATGCATTATCACACCTGGTTAATTTTCTGATTTTTTTTTTGTAGAGACAAGGTCTTGCTTTCTTGGCTTAATGTTCAAATAAAGCCTCAGTTCCAAATGTTTCAATTTATTATTAATAATTTTAGTAAATAAATTGTTCAGCAAATGCTAGCTATTGCCATGGAAGCACAACGAGGGAGCTGTCATTCCTCCTGGGGGTACATGGAGTTTTCTGGAGGAAGCACACTGGTTCTTTATTTCGCATCCAGGGCTCGGAAACATTGTCCTTGGTGAAGTGATATGACAGGTACACATGTGCATTTTTAAGGCCTGTGCTCATTATCTGCTCTTACCCCTGAACTTTTTAGTTGCGAACATGACCCCTAAATCCACGTATACGTTCAAGATCCCAGAAATCCACTTTCCCCTGGTGAGCCAGTGCGTCCAGGCATACTACGCAGACTTTGTCACCCTGCTCAGCAAGGCCATGAGCTTACTAGCTCCTGAGAACTCTCTGCTCCTGGCCCGGTATTTCTACCTGCGAGGGCTCGTTCATCTGATGCAGGGACAACTACTGAGCGCCCTCTCGGATTTCCAGAATCTGTATAAGACAGACATAGGGATCTTCCCTGCCGACCTGGTGAAGCGGATGGTGGAGTCTATGTCCACCCCCGAGCGGGCACAGGCCGAGCGGATGCCTGAGCTGAAGCGGCTCATCAGCGAGGTCCTAGACAAGCCGCGTGAGGCCCCGAAGACGGACGACCACGTGAAGAACTTTGAGCTGCCCAAGAAGCACATGCCGCTGGACGAGTTCGTGAAGCGGGTACAGGAGTCGGGGGTTGTGAAGGACACCACCATCATCCACCGGCTGTTTGAGGCACTGACCGTAGGTAAGAGGGCAGAGGAGGCCGTCACAGAGTTGAAATACTGCAGGACAGCCCCGGTTGACAGGGGCAGGAGGTGAGGTGCCAGCAGGTGGCACGTGAGGCTGCTGCGACCCCAGGGCTTTTGCTGCCATTCTGGGCTCCAACCTGGGTCGGGAGTGCCCTTGGACAGTGGTCCTCTGCCACCATCTTACACATGCCTGCGGGCTGGGTTCCAGGCCATGCTCTTTGCAGGATGTAGGCGTGTTTGATGAGAGAATGGAACCATTGACTCAGCTGAAATGATTCACACACGCACAAAAGCACAGCTGCAACATGACAAATTCCCAAATTTACTGCAGTGGTCTTGGGTTTTTATTTATTTATTTATTTGTTTGTTAATTAATTTGTTTATATTTTTTTGAGTCAGGGTGTCACTCTGTTGCCTGGGCTGGAGCACATTGGCATGATCACGGTTCACTGCAGCCTCGACTCCCTGGGCTCAGGCGATCCTTCTGCCCCAGCCTCCTGAGTAGGTGGGATCATAGGTGTGCACCACCACACCTGGCCAATTGTTTAATTTTTTGTAGAGATTAAGTCTCACAACGCTGCCCATGCTGGTCTTAAATTCCTGACCTCAAGCAATCCGCCTGCCTTGGCTTCCCAAAGTGCTGGGATTACAGGCGTGAGCTGCTGTACCTGGTCAGGTCTTGCATTTCAGATCCAGTGGGAGCTCCCTATACTTGCTCCTCCTGTCCCTCTTCAAAAGGATTCACTATCCCAGATGGGAGCTTTGTTTTCTGAGCATGTTTTTATGCATTTAATGCAAATGGATGCACCTAAATACAGTGTGCAATTTGTGCGTTTAAACTTACCATAAGGCTGGGTGCGGTGACTCACGCCTATAATCTCAGCACTTTGGGAGGCCGAGGTGAGAGGATTGCCTGAGCCCATGGGTTCGAGACCAGCCCGGGCAACTTGGCGAGACCTCATCTCTACAATAAATAAAAAAATTAGTCGGGCGTGGTGGTGCGCACCTGTAGTTCCAGCTACTTGGAAGGCTGAGGTGGAAGGATTGCTGGAGCCCAGCAGGTCTAGGCTGCAGTAGCCGTGAGCGTGCCACTGCACTCTAGCCTGAGCGATAGAGTGAGACTGACTCAAAAAAATAATAAATAAACTCGCCACAGGATGTGTCCCCCCACATGTCTCAGCTTGCACATCGCACATCCTGGCTTCTTCAACCTCACACTTTCAGAATTTACCTGGTTAGCTACATGTCCATCTGGTTTAGCTACCTCGGCTACTGGTAGTGCTGCATTTGGAGCCCATTGTGCTGATCCTTCTTACTATGAGGTGGCATGTGGTGGTTTTACTTTTCAGACACTGACACCTTAAGTGTCCCTGTGCCTATCTCCCTGAGTACATGTAGGCTGGTTCTTCTCGGGTCTGTACCCAAGACCTGGTTTGGAGTATAAGTACTGACACTCAGGCTCCATGGGCCTCACTGCTCCCCGGGCGCCACCGCCCCTAGGAGATCCCCGTCTCCTGCTCCCAGGCCACACGGTCTCTCAGTCTGTGTCTCCTGCCTTTGAGGAGTGTGAAATGACATTGCTCTGTTTTTCTAGTCGAACACCTGCTCACACGCTGGAGGGCTGTTCTGGTTTCTTTTCTGTGAGCTGTTTTTTCACAGTCTTTGCCCATTTACTTGTTTAATTAAAAAATTTTTTTGAGTCAGAGTCTTGCTCTATCGCCCAGGCTGGAGTACAGTGGCATGTTCATGGCTCACGGCAGCCTTGGGCTCCTGGGCTCAGGCGATCCTCCTACCTCAGCTTCCCAAGTAGCTGGGACTACAGATGTGTGCCATCACACCTGGCTGATTTTTTGGTGTGGCAGATACCTCATCCTTGTCACAAAGCAACTGGCTGAAGAATGTGGGTTTTGTTCGTTTCTTGCCTGTGGCCTTGGAGGGACAGATGTGGACATGCATGTGTGCTTGTGTGTGTAATATCCCTCTCACACAAGGCTGTCACTGTGTGCTCATTGGTCCCAGTTAGTGAGTCTGATTGGGGACGCTTTGTCGGTCAGATACTCAGCGGGCAGTTCACGTGCTGTCCTATGGGAATACTGAGAGGAAACACAACCGTGCCCCAAGCAGGACATGTCTCCATTGAGTGCCGATTGGGTGATCAGCACTGCCCAGGAGGGGTGGCCATTCTTACGTGGCAAGGATCCAGAGCGTGCGTGGCACCTCCTTGGTGTCACCTTGGACCAGTTCCTTCTGTCCTCTCCTCTGCTGCCCAGCATGGCCTGTTTTCTCACGGTTGGTGGCCCCAGCACTGGTGTTCCCCATGTAGGAAGAAGAGGATCTGTCCCTCTTTTAAAGGACCCCCCCACATCTCCCATCCTCAGTGACTTGTGCTCCCCTCTCATTGGGCAGAATCATGTCACATGGCTGCCCAGCTGCAAGGAAGCCCCGGAAGGCAGTTTTACAGCTGGGCACATGGGCCCTTTCCAGCAGTCCCAGAGAGAGCGGATAGGGGGTGGGGCCGGTGTAGGGGATGGCATTCAGCAGACCTGGCCATTGATGACAACACCATCAGTGGCTCTGCTGTAACTTTGACTTTGTTTACATTGCCAATTAGGTCAGGAAATGGTCTTGAATCTGAGCTGCAGGAACCTGAGATCACTTGTGTAAAGCAGCCCCAAATATGTGTTTTGGCCAAATGGCCTTGTGTTTAAAAAAAAAAATTACTTTGGCCAAAGCTGAATGTCAACATCTTAGAATGAATTTACATGATATAAGAATGAATCTGAAATTTCATTCAAAAAATTATCATTGCAGTGTCACCATTCTTCATTCTAATGGTCAAAAGTGTCAAGTCTGCGATTAGTAATGTAGGACCAATACATCCCACACGGCCCGTGAGGTGGCTGTCCGGAGGGACACTCCTGTGTGTGTGCTGTCTTCGGCGTGGCTGTGGCTGGCTCCGATAGTGACACCGCCAGCTACTGAGATGACTAGGGGTGGTTGTCTTAGAGGAGAATGGGAGAGAGGCCAATAGCCGGTGTTTGTGTGGAATTGGAGACAAATGCGGAATAGACATTCTGTCTGTGTGGGCGAATGCATCAACTACATGCATGATGGATACTGTAGACTGCAGGGGCCCATGGGCGTGCGTGTGTCCATGAGTGTGCATGGCAGGGGCAGGGAGTATGCACAGTGTGAGTGTGTCCACCGGCTGTGGGTGTGAATCCCAGCAGCTGTAGGTGTGCGGTGTGGGTGTGCACAGCAGTGGGTATGTAGAGTGATGGGTTTGCACAGCATTGGGTGTATACAGCAGCTGTGGGTATGCACAGCGGTGGGTATGCACAGTGGTGGGTGTGTACAGTGATGGATGTACACAGTGGTGGGCATGCATAGTGGTGGGTGTGCATAGCGGTGGGTGTACATAGCGATGGGTTTGCATAGTGGTGGGTGTGCACAGTGGTAGATGTGTACAGGGGTGGGCATGTACAGCGGTGGGTGTATACAGTGGTGGGTGTGTACAGGGGTGGGTGTGCACAGCGGTGGGTGTATACAGTGGTGGGTGTGTACAGGGGTGGGCGTGCACAGCAGTGGGTGTATACAGCGGTTCGTGTGTACAGCCTTGGGCATGCACAGTGGGCCTAGGGCAAGCACTGCCCCATCCTGTAGCCTTGGTGGTGTGAGGTTTCCAGACGGTCAGGAGCACTGGCAGGGAGTTGCTTTGTTGCTCCCTGCCTGACGGGGCATCCTTGGTCTTGCTGCTTCTCCCTCCGCTGCAGATTTCTGGAGTCCTGAATCCTCATCTCCTAGCACCCAAGGCCCCCTCACACCCAAGGCCAGTGCTGGTGTCTGACTGGGAAGCTGTCCAGGTCTGGTGACACACACTTTGCTCTGCATACCCCAGCAACTCTGCTGTGGGCCAGGTAGCTGCTTTGTCCTGAGTGACACAAGGGACAGGACACTTGTCCCTGCTCCTCATCAGATCTGAGTCCACTTCCACTAAGTAATGGCTTTGCTGTCTGCTTTCATGTCCCCCCTCTTGTTTTCCTGTTTCTTGGGCTTTTCCTTCCTGGCTACTTGACCTAAAGATCATCTTATATGACGCTAATCACCACAGCAAGTGCTTCTGACTTAAACCCCATCACTCAGGGCCCTCGGGAAGTGGAAACTGGTCTCTGCCCCAGCAGCTATGTGGAACAATGTTTCTCAAATGGAAGAGGGACTCTAGCAAGCAGTTTTATGTGTGGATGACTCCACTGTCAGCATAGGGGGCTGTGGAGACCCGGCCCACCGGGCCCCACCCGTGGTGTTGCAGGAGCCTCGCTCTTGTCTTTCTTGGCAACTTTTTTTTTTTTTTGAGTTGGAGTCTCACTCTGTCGCCTAGACTGGAGTGCAGTGG